CAGCGCCATCTGAAGCAAAGAGCATACTTCCTGCGGACACTTTTTTGGCTGAGTGGCCCATCTTGTTATGTACTATCATTGTCTTAATGCAGTCCTTTTAGCCACGTAACGTAGGTATCGATCCAGCAACAGCTGGGCTTTAACCGTGTTACAAAGACAGCATTATCGTAATTTCCTGCCTCTCTTCCAGCAATCATTTAAATTATAATATTATTACAGTGACCCGACAACTATATTTTTCCTATCGTAGCTTCCTGCATTGTAACAATAATATTACTCTAAATACAGAACTGTCATACTTCCCTATCGTGTTTTACTGTAAACATGAACAGAATTACAAAGACATAGCAGCTGTTATAAAGTTTCCTATCGTGTTTTACTGTCATTATTTCAACAATAAAACCCTTATGGGATTGTTATACTTTCATATCGTGTTTTACTGTCATTATTTCAACAATAAAACACTTATGGGGTTGTTACACTTTCATATCGTGTTTTACTGTCGTCACTTCAACAATAAAACAGTGATAGGATTGTTACATTTTTTAAAAATCGTGTTTTACTGTAAACATGAACAGCATTACGAATACGAAAACGATTACACTGTTTATCGTGTCTTACTGCAATCATTTTAACAGTCAAATACGGACGGGATTGTTACACTTTCCTTCTGTACGTTTCTGTAAATATTTTTAACAAGCTAACAAACATGGGACAGTTATATATCATAACATGACGATAAAAGTATTGTTCTTGCATCCGTATATGTTAATGTGTTTGTGTGTGTGTGTGTGTGTGTGTGTGTGTGTGTGTGTGTGTGTGTGTGTGTATGTATGTCTGTGTGTGTGCACTTTCCACTTTCCACTCTCACCTTTCACCTCTTTCCGGTTTCCTCCCACACCCCTCACCCTCTTTCCCCTTTTTCCCTGATCCCATTTCCCTTTTCCTCTCCCCCTCCTCTTCCCTTACTCATTCATCATCCTGCGGCCACATCTCTCTTTCCTCCCTCGCCCCTTCCCCTCTTTCCCCTTCCCCCTTTCCTCTCTCCCCCTCCCCTTCCCCTTTCACATTTTTCCTCACCCCCTCCCCCTCTCCCCCCATTCCATCTCTCTTTACCTACTTACTTATCACTTCGTCTAGATGACCGTTGAGCCACCAAGGATGATTGGACAACCACTTCTGTCCATCTTTCCCTATTTTCAGTCTTTCGAAGGGCTTCACCTAACTTTAAAACGGTTCATTCCGTTCTGTTGTCTTCCCAACTCTTGTTCTCTCTGTCTTTCCTTCTCCCTCTTTGTACTGTGCTCTGTAGGAATATCTTTACGAGTCCTGTTGATCTTTTTATAATATTATGCCCATACAATCTAAGCTTGCGTTTTTTCACAGTGGTGAGGAGAAGATCTTCAAAGATCCCAATGCCAATCCTGGTTCTGTTATTCATCACTTCCCCATTTTGAACATGACCTCTGTAGGGGTTGCCCAAAAGTCTTGGGAAGCATATCATGTCTGTATCGTGTTTGTATCTCCCCCCCTCCCCCCCCCCTCTCTCTTCCCTCAGCCAACAAGAGGACGGTACTCAACTTCCCAGAAGACACGGGTTTCGTGGACGGCATGTGCACTGACGTCAATGACAAGATCTGGGCCGCCTTTTGGAACGGAGGGCGGATAGGCCAGTACGATGTGGAGACAGGTAAACCCGACCTTAATAAATCCACAACGATCGATTGGTCACCCGAGTATCCTACAAAAACACCACAATTTTATAGAAGTGAAACTCTTTGTCAGTTCATCTAACAATGTTTGTTCAAAATCAAAGTCTGAATGTAGGTTGCACAGCCTGCGATGTTTATTAAGTTACATGTCTAAAAAATTTGACACAAGATCCGCAACGTTACATTTAGATCTAGTAGAAAAAAAGAAGAAAAAAAGTGTTGTTTTTTTTAAAGATAATGTGGGTTACACGGTTGTTGTACACATGCGACGAGCCTGTTTGGGGGAACGAATCAAGATATCGACAAAAGTAGTCGGTGTGGTCAAATTTGGTCGAGTTTGAATTATACATACCAGGTGATTCCCCAACCAGATTAGAAAACAATTCAAGAGCTGTTTCTAGTAAAAACCACTTTAAAATATCTTTTCTAAGTTTATTTTCTATTTGCATTCAGTTATTAAAAAGAAAAATGGTGTAACTTTGAACGCGTTTTTTTGTCAGTGCTTACTTTCCTCATTTTGTTACTTCAAAATTCAATATAATATCATCTTTTACAAAAGATGGTTGAAACATTTAAAGTTTTAAGTGTATAATAATCAGGAAGATCCCAGCTTTCAGGAAAGTACAAAAACTCAACATGACCCAGAGGAGACATATTCCTGATTTCCTCTGACCGATTCACTCGTCGCATGAGAGAACTGTCCGTTTTATCGAACTCTGTAGCTGTTTACACGTTCTTCTTCTTCTTCTTCTTCTTCTTCTTCTTCTTCTTCTTCTTCTTCTTCTTCTTCTTCTTCTTCTTCTTCTTCTTCTTCTTCTTCCTCGAACCTTGAACTTTGAACTTTGCCATTTTGCATGCTAGTAAAGGTAACAAAGAGTCTGGTTTGTTCAAAGGGACTTGAATCACAGAAATAATCATTTGCTGAGTGGACTGTTTTATCTGTTACCTCTTGCCAAATGTCCATGATATTAACACTGATCAGGGAGACTGAGGGGGAAAAGTATTTACGTCATACCATCTACTTCTCCCCCTCCCCTCTAATACCTCTCTATATCTGTCTCTGTCTCTGTCTGTCTGTTTGTCTGTCTGTCCGTCTGTTCTGTCTGTTTGTCTGTCTTTCTTTCTTTCTTTTCACTTTTATTATTATTATTATTATTATTATTATTATTATTATTATTATTATTATTATTATTATTATTATTATTATTATTATTATTATTAATATTGTTGTTGTTATTTTTATTTTTTAATTATTATTATTATCATCATTATTTTTTTATAATTATTATGATATTATTATCATTATCATTATTATTATTATTATTATTATTATTATTGATATTATTATTATTACTATTATTATTATCATCGTCATCATGATTTTATCATTATTATTACTATTACTAATATTACTATTTTATTATCACTATTACTATCATTAATATTACTATTTTATTATTATTATTATTATTGTTATTATTATTATAATTATTATTGTTGTTGTTATTTTTTAAAATTATTATTGTCATCATTATTTTTAAAAAATTATTATTATATTATTATTATCATTATCATTATCATTATTTTTTTAAAATTATTATTATTATTATTATTATTATTATTATTATTATTATTATTATTATTATTATTATTATTATTATCTTTTCATCCCTGCAGGCAAACTGCTCCGTAACATCAGCACCGCCCCCACCAGCCAGACGACGTCGTGTGTGTTTGCCGGTCCCGGGCTGGAGGAGCTGTGGATCACCACCTCCACCGTGTCGCTCTCAGAACAGCAGCTGGCTGCTCAGCCCAACGCCGGCGCCATCTACAAGCTCACGGGGCTAGGCACCAAGGGCAAACGCAGCATTCCCTTCGCGGGCTAGACGGACGGACGGACGGACGGACAGGGGGGTGTGGTAGAGGGGGTAGTGACTAGTGTAGTAGGCGGGGTCGCTCACGATTTGTTGTGGGTGGTTTTGGTAATTTTGGTGGGCCGTATTTGCTCACTAGTGGGTGGTTAGGTAATGTTGGTAGACGGTATTTGACCACTAGTAGGTCGTTTGTTCATTTTGGTGGGCGGTATCGCCAACTACTAACTAGTGCGTCAATGCGGTAGCTTTAGTGGATGGTATTTGCGAACTGCAGGGTGATTTGGTCGTTTTAGTGAACGTGGCATTTGCTCACTGGTGGGTCGTTTGGTCATTTTGGTGGGTGGTATTTTCCCACTAGTGGTTGTTTTAGTCATTTTAGTGGGCGGTATTGTCCTCTAGTGGGTGGTTTGGTAAGCTTTGGAGGCGGTATCGGGAACTACTAACTAGTGCGTCGATGCAGTAACTTTAGTGGATGGTATTCGCCAACTAGAGGGTGGTTTGGTCGTTTTAGTGAACGTGGTATTTGCTCTCTAGTAGGTGTTTTAGTCATTTGAGTGGGTGGTATTTGCTCTCTAGTAGATGTTTTAGTCATTTGAGTGGGTGGTATTTGCTCACTAGTGGATGTTTTAGTCATTTGAGTGGGTGGTATTTGCTCTCTAGTAGATGTTTTAGTCATTTGAGTGGGTGGTATTTGCTCACTAGAGGGTGGTTTGGTCGTTTTAGTGAACGTGGTATTTGCTCACTAGAGGGTGGTTTGGTCGTTTTAGTGAACGTGGTATTTGCTCTCTAGTGGATGTTTTAGTCATTTGAGTGGGTGGTATTTGCTCACTAGTGGATGTTTTAGTCATTTGAGTGGGTGGTATTTGCTCTCTAGTAGATGTTTTAGTCATTTGAGTGGGTGGTATTTGCTCACTAGAGGGTGGTTTGGTCGTTTTAGTGAACGTGGTATTTGCTCACTAGAGGGTGGTTTGGTCGTTTTAGTGAACGTGGTATTTGCTCACTAGAGGGTGGTTTGGTGACTTGGGTCGAAGGTATTCTCCACCAGTGGGTCATTTGGTAATTGTGGTGGATGGTGTTGACCACTAGTGAGTGTTTTATTCATTTTGGTGGGCGGTATCACCAAGTACTGACTAGTGTGTCGATTGGGTAACTTTAGTGGGCGGTATCACCAAGTACTGACAAGTGCGTCGATTGGGTAACTTTAGTGGGTGGTATCACCAAGTACTGACAAGTGCGTCGATTGGGTAACTTTAGTGGGCGGTATCACCAAGTACTGACAAGTGCGTCGATTGGGTAACTTTAGTGGGCGGTATCACCAAGTACTGACAAGTGCGTCGATTGGGTAACTTTAGCGGGTGGTATTTGCAAGTACTGACAAGTGCGTCGATTGGGTAACTTTAGTGGGCGGTATCACCAAGTACTGACAAGTGCGTCGATTGGGTAACTTTAGTGGGCGGTATCACCAAGTACTGACAAGTGCGTCGATTGGGTAACTTTAGTGGGTGGTATCGCCAACTACTGACTAGTGCGTCGATTGGGTAACTTTAGCGGGTGGTATTTGCCCACTAGTTTGTCGTTTAGTCCTTTTGGTGGACGGTGGAGATTACCCGGGTAGTCAAAATTCCCCGCTTGGAAATACCATGGACATTGTCTAAGAGTTACTAAGACGGCCACTCATCGTTGGGGAGAAAAGTGGTCGTCTAAGACAGGTGGACATCTTACACAGTGTCATTATAATGATTTTAGAAATACGCAACGGAGGAAATTGGAAGTTACAGTTTGTGCATTTGGTTGGCTCATACAGGTGGCTGTTATACAGGTGGCCGTCTACCAAGATCCCTTAATACTGGACTCTGTCTCCTCATTATGCAAAAAAGCTTATCTTATCGGAAAGTCACAGGTTATTTGTAAGTAAAACATGTTTTGTTTATCTTTTCCTTTTTTTTTTTGCTGCATAAAGTGTATAATAAGCCTGGACCTGTCTCATTCTCTGTCTCTGTCTTTCTCTCTGTCTCTCTGTGTCTCTCTGTCTCTCTCTGTCTCTCTTTGTCTCTCTCTGTCTCTCTGTCTGTCTGTCTGTCTCTCTCTCTCTCTCTCTCTCTCTC